AATAAGTAAACAGCAGCATTAATTTAACGTACCTCAAGGACGTGCTTCACCACAGAAGCTCCTCCGTACCTCAGAGCCTCCTCTCGCGCGTGGCGTTTGTCTACTTCGGGGAAGGTGTTGTTGATAAACCACCTAGCCCCCATCATGTTCCTCGCCTCGAACAGGCTGCTCTGAGGCACCGCCGGGGTAACAAGGCCCTTTCCCTTACCAGGAGCTCATACCTCAGCCCCCTCCTCCAACCGTCTGAGCTCAGAGTTCAGCTCAACAGGAGGAGGCTGAGGTACGAACTCAGGCACCCCACTAGCCTCTTCCTCCACCACCTTCTTCTTCTTCTCTAGTGCCCTCCTCTCTTCCCAACCCTTCCTCTTCAGCTGTGGCACATCTTCCCCCGTCTCAGCTGAAGCAGTAGCTACTACCTCCTTCCCAGCTCTCCCCTCATCCACTTGCCTGGTTGAAGTCCTTGACTTCTTCCTTGGCTTCTTGGGGATGGCCTTTCCTCCGGCAGTGTTCAGAAACTGTTCCATGTCAGCTGCAAAGCAAGAAACACAATGTTAGTTACAATTCTATGCTATACATTCAACGCTAAAGTACATGATAAACAAACCTTCACTCAAAGCGCTTGGCCCATAGAGCTCAGCAGCCTCTATGCATGCTGCGCTGGTGAGGTCCATGATATTCAATTCATCCTCCCTCTTCCTCACCAACTTCCTCACTTCTTCCTCCTCATCCCCATTCAAACTAAACCTATTCTGGTTGGCCCTTTTAGCCTTCCAGGAAGCTAATGCCCTCACCTCGACATCCCCTTTCCCCCACTCCGTATCATCAACAAAAAAGAATTTTTCCTTCCATCCCTTAATGGATGAAGGACCCGCAGTAAATAAAATCCTGCTCTCCTTCTTATCTACCCTAGGGGTGAAATAATACCACCCCTTATCCCTCCTACTCCCTCCCTTCAAAACAAAAAAATACTTAAACATATTTACAATTGGCACACTGATCCCTTGAGCTCGGCAATAAACTAAAAAACCTATTATTACCTTCATTGCGTTGGGGACCAACTGTGTCAACCCTATGTTGTAATCTAACAGTAAACCTATTAATAACTCGGGAATTGGAAACTTAAGCCCAGCATACAAATAATGGGAGTATACGGGCATCCAATGATCCCGAGGAGCAGAACATGTCCTCTCCTCTACCCCAGTTGGCCTAACTAACACCCGAGAAGAGATCTCGTACGTTTCTACTAAGTGGCACAGGTCATCCCTGGTCCTTAGTTCAGATCGGTACTGCTTTACCTCTTCCACTATCTCTGCACTCTCATCATAACCTCTCTCCCCATTACCT